TCTGTTATAACGATGCCCAAAATAAAGAGATGAATCTCATAGTTTATTAGATATAATCCGTGTAAAGTTTGCTTATCATTTTCGCATAAATTATGACCTAAATTTGGAAACCGCTGAATTTCTCGAATTGGGTCTTTGCGATTTTGATGAAACTCTGTTCAGCGCAAGACACTAATGCGCACTATGTGTAGCCGAGAGATTTTCAAGAAAAAATGCCGGCAACAGCAGATTTTCGACTCTGACCTCAAAGGGGCGTGGCATTATAACCACGTGACATTTACTCCGATCGCCAAAAATTTTATAGTATATTGTAGATTGATCTATATGTTATCCATTCTATGTGTTAGACTTACGATAAAAGTAAAGGTGGGGATACCAGAGAGCTTCAAAGTAGGATGGTACCCCCCCAAAAAAAACTGGGTCGAGTCGCCTTAAGATTGTCCAGTTTTTACCGTATTTCTAACCATAAAAACTTCATCCCAAAATACCTCGATAACTCTCTTACAGATTTTCGCTTAAACTTCAAGAACATCGAGGCGGCTGTTGAAGGAAAAAGCTCGCGTGAAAGATTTTTGAAGAAGAGTTCCTAGTGCCGAGAAATACGGTTGGAAGTAAAATAGGCAATGGCGTCATTTCGTTGCTATGACAACTCCGATGTTATTGAAAACCTGATCAAATTTTCATCTTCATCTAATACAGCTGTGGTGGTAATTTTTCCAGATCTTTGTTAATGGCGATGTAGTTTATGCTTAAACTTGGGGGGTATTGACGCCGAATAACCCCATCGAGCCACCTTAACGTGGCACTTTTGTAGGAAGATAAAAACAGATTAACGAAAGAGGGCTGGGGGTAATTTATAATGACTGGAGCACACAAAATCTTATACTGATGCAGTCGCGGTTCGATTCACACCTTTCCACTTTCTTGGAATGTTATATGCTACCAAACTTCTTGTACCACTTACATGTTCTCTTTTTCGTTAGTGAAAAGAACAGCTGATGATCATCGAATTTGCGGAGAGCTGACTTCTTCGGTCACTTAGAAAATGTCGTTTTGATATACATTCCAAAGAAGTGGTCTCAGCATTCCGTTAGCAAATATTGTAGTTGTAAGTGAATTTGAATCAAAATCGAATTCAAACTGATAAAACTGAGTCCACCGTCACATTCTGGCTTCTTTTACTCACTTATTCTATATTTTTTCTTTATTGTCTGAAAGGATGCTTGGGTTTTCAAAATGGCCGTGCATCGTCATGGCGACGGGTAGGGAAATTACGTCACTTCTATTTTTAGAATTCATACCACATTACAAACTTTCTTGACCCGCAACCACGTTGCTCTCCAAAATGGACGACAGATTCAGTGAATGGTAAAATTATTTTTGATGGCTTTGCTATTCCATTTTATCAAAAAAGCTCGTTTACAAGCGGTTTCTTTCAATTCTTTTTCATTTTTATTTGCAAAAAAAACGTGTTCAAGTGTGAAGAGGATAACGACATATTTTATCATTCCTTGATATATTTTGGTAAGGTTTGTCTCTATATTTGTTTTAGATACATCGGTGGTTCTGTGGAGTGCGCAACTATCACAACACGCAGTAAGTGGTAATTTGTTCCCTGTTCAAGTTAAGTTGTCAAATTATTAAATAATTTTTAAGATACCCGAACGAAGAGAGTTCGAGTTTCTTATTAGTATGACAAATTAAGTAAATTTACAAGTTATTTGCTTTCGAACATGACCAGTTTAAGTTTGATTGACGATTGAATTAAGCCATGAGCGCATTGAAATAATTACAAAAGATCAGACATCTGATTTTGCGATGAACAGTCCGTTCAGGAGCTTATTGTAGCTCTAAAAGCTTATCAGAGAGACTTTTTATTTTGACGGCAATACGTTACGGTGAAGTTCTCCCAACGGGTACCAGGTGTTGGGTTCAACAAGCAATGTTATGGCAATTGAACCTAAACATTCTCTTGAACGGTCGGTAAGAAAATCCCTTCTCGATCTTACCCTAAACTCAAAATAATTCCTATCGTCTAGCAAGTGGAATTACGTAAACAAAACAAACAAACCAAAATACAGTCGAACCTCCACTAAGGGCCACATCTCTACAACGGCCATGTTTTCGGAGGAAAGTGCCAATATTGAATCGTGTTTAAGCCTCTCTACAACGGCCACTTTCTTCTGTCCCCAAAGGTGCCCGATGTGGAGATGTTCAACTGTATGCAAGTCTGAGCGAAATACACCGTTTTGAAGGTGTTTTAACACTTTAAAATGCCTTAAAAGGCCTGAATCATGAGTGTTTATTTAATCTCTGGCCATCGCTTAATGGCCCGAATTTATGGTCTAGCTCGTTATTTGATAACAAAAATCACGTCATATCAGTATTCTACACCAGAATAAAAACTAAAGTATATCGATTTTTTTTGTGAAAGATACGCCCCTAGAGTTCAATCGCATTGCCTCTTACATTTAATTGGAAATTACTACACTCACCTTATGGGGTCTGATGCGTAATTGGGCAATGAAACAGGATTGGCGCGACTGAGCGGAAGAAAAGTCACGCGAAATCAAACAATGGAAATGATTCCGATTCTGGCTGCAAGGAAATTTTCTGCTTGAAGTGGCAAGAAAAGAAAGTATGTCATTTTATCGTTGAAGTAATCGGCTTGAGTCACAGTATTTTTTTTGTTATAAATCTTTTCAAAAATTCATCGGAGGATCGAAATAATTAAAACTTGCCGGAGATTCGCTGTGGCTTTGAGAACGTTGTCTGGTTGCCTATTTCACAAATAAGGTACTTGAACCCTTGAGAAGATAAAGACTATACTCACTCAAAGTGGGCTTAGACTCGAAGAAGATATTATATACAATGTGAATGAATTTAGAGCTCCTATACATTTCACATCTGTTGAAGCACTTGTTACATTTCGTCGTCCCCAATGTTGATTAAAATATTTCCCATTTACAAAGCACATGAGTTTCAACATTGGGGAAAGAGAGAGGAATTACAGTCACTTTTTCTTTAAGAAGGACATCTTTGGGACCAGCAAGTGTCCGTCTTAGAGCGATGTTCGTCTTATAGACAGTCAAATAAAGGGAGTAAGTAAATACAGGGACCAGCTCTAGGTGTCCGTTTTACATCATGGGTGTCCGTCTCGCAAAGGTGTCCGTTAAGAGAGAGTCGACTGTATTCACGGGGAATTTTTTATAATTCGTTTGAGGAGGTGTACGACTATAGTGGTATTCTTTTTCCGTGATATTTTTCCCCGAATAAGATGCGCATTTAAATAAAAAAAATCGACAATGACTGTACAAAACGGTCAGACACTCAACATTCTATCTGTATCAATGAAGTTACCTCTTAATAATACGATATATATATATACTCAGTAAACACCCCTGACAGAAACTAATGGTCCCAGATTTTAAGTTTGAGCTGTCTAGAAACTTCATCATTGACAGACTTGTTTGCGTATTCATGTAATTTCCTATTATAATTTTTCTGCTTTGCTAATACGTTTCTGTAGAGCGTTTTCACATGACATCACGGCGGCCATCGTGATGTTCCAAACTAATCCTATGGGAATTGAACTCTTTTCTAATATAAACGCTTTCTTTTGTTCCAATACATTTTTGCATAGATGCTGGCCACGTAAGTGAAAACGCTCTACAAAGTACTTTTCATGGAGAGTGCGCTAAATATTTCTGGATGGTAATTTAATTGAACGTGCCAGTTTTTTGGTAACTGTTTTCTTCAAATTATAACCCTATGCAATTCTTACTTCATTGAAAATTTGGTATATTTAAAAAATTAATTTACTGCAGCTTTTGTAGTTGTTTAGCATGTGGCTGCTGGGATTCATTGTTGCTGTCTTTCTCAATACCGGAGTACATGCCACTTTACTAGGTAGGTCCAATTTTAATGTAATAAAAGCGTTATCTACTTTTTCGACACTTACAGTCCTGGTCAAACGTTTTTGGGACACTTTGTCTTTCATACATGAAAACTGCCATAGGAAAGAGCCTGTGGATCATGGACTCCCTCAATAGGCCATTTCCTAGCCATTTCCAAGTTGCTCTAAACCTCTGTTTCAAAGCGAGGCTGAGTGCGAGGCCATTGATATGAAAAATAAAACTCATTTTCACAAGAAAGGTTTTGCACTAAGCCTCGCTCTGAAAGTGAGAATTTTTGGAACTTGGAAATGGCCTATGTACCAAGAGGGTGGGGAAGAATAAATTGCAAACAAAACTTTGTGAAAGTGTCCCAAAAACTTTGGCTAAGATTATAGGTGGCTACACTTTCTCAGCAATAGAGTGTTTACGGCATATTGGGGTTCCAAAACAATGCAATGGCAGCCATGTTCGAGTCCAAACCCTGCGGGATTCAATAAATTTGCATAGGTGCTGGTCACATGAATGAAAGCGCTCTAAGTGCAAAGGCTATTTTTCGCATTTTTAAATGCATTTTTTTTGGATTTCTTGTTCACATGCTTAATAATTAATCAGAGGTATTCATTTAAATAGCTTCAGCCCTTGTCAAACGTCATTCTTTATATTAATGGTTGCGTTCAAGTGGATAATTTTGCTAAATTTAATGTTTGTGTGTGTATGTTTACTATTATTATAATAACTGTTATTATTATTTGCTTTTCCATATGGTTCTGTACTATTTTAAGCTTAGCGAAGTTTTCAAAAACTTGTACAAAACGTGTCAAAGAGATGTCCGCAAAGAGAGGGCAACGACACGATCATTACTACCTTGATTTAACTTTTACCGAAAATGCTGATAAAAGTAAATGAATGTTAGATTGATATTAGTTTTTCTTTTTACAGGAGTATGTCCAGGAAGCTGCTCTCCCCAATGCTACCCTTCCTGTAACCCTGTCTGTTGTTACAACTCTCAACAATCATCATTGTATCAACAACAAGAGCTACAACGGCAACAACAAGAGCAGTTTTATTATCACCCTCCAACTGAGACAGGGCCAGCAGCTGTGGCCCAGTACATTAAATTGCCAAGCGCACCAGCTCCTGCTCCAGCGTTTGCTCTTGCTCCATCTCCCACCCCCTCTCCTCCTAAACCTCCCCCTCCCCCTCCCTGTGCGTCGTACTGCCCAAAGGAATGTTACCCAGATTGCGCGACGTCGTGCTGTGTGCCAAAGCCGCCACCGATGCCACTGTATTTGAAGAGAAAACAGTCAATAGCTGTGGCTTGTGAAGGACACAAACTGAAGATAAAATGCCCAAATAAGTACGACAATTGATTGATTACAGGGAGATTTAGAATCACGTTAACGGCAAGCGGAAAACGTGAGATTCAAGTTGACAATTTCTCAAATAGGAAAAATTGAGTAGGTAAAAACTGTCCATAATACATAGTGACATGGATGAACCTAACATGAAGCTAATATTTTTGTGGATACAAGGAACAGTAGATGGCAAGTGAAGAGGACACAATTTGACGTTTGCCATTTGCCGTAAACGTAATAACCCACGATCGATACATTAAAATTCTAACGTGCCTCCGAGTCTTTACGGACAACTTACCAAATTTTTCACGACTCCATTGTCTCGCAATTCCCAGAAGAGACTTGAGCACAAAGAAATCAAACCAAATATAGAAAAATGTCCAGAAAACCTGGGAGTCATGTTAGAATTTTAATATAACGAAAGTGGGCTTTTCTAAATATTAAATTAAAATAGATGAGGTTTTAATTCCATCAAGCTTTCAGTTCCGCCACTCACCACTGAATCTTTATAAAGTGATGGACTTCGACCTTTTTTCACACGATTTATACTGTGAATCACGTGACAAAACGTCCCGGAAGTTCGCAGAAAGCTCATAACCGGTGTCCCTGTTCAATACTGGTGCCCCATAATAGATTTCGATGGCCTCTTTCCCTCCTTGAATTTAAAACCTCGGCTATATTAAATAAATTTAAGATAGGATTAAGTAATTCTTTGTTTGCATATATGTGATTCTAAATCTCTCTCATGCGTTAAAAAAATGGTGTTGCCATAGGTTGTATTCTCTATACATGTAGTATGCCACAACAATACAATACATCTAAACAACAACAATACAAAGACAGGAAAGGAAAGCGATACACGGGGTATTCAAAAGCAAAAATAAGCGATGTTTAATTCCAGTTTCCAGTAGTACATTCAAACTCTCTTTGCCGTTCTTAGACAAACAATAAGAATTCTGAACTAACTTTTAACGAGTTAACTTCAATATTTAATCATTATTTTCTAGGTACGATCGCATCGCATTATACAGTACATTTTATGGCAGGGATGAAAACAACACGTGTAAACACAACGTCCTTCCCTACAAAGGACATTGCGTGGCCGAGGAACAGAGAGTCAATAAGAAGTTATATGACCTGTGTCAAGGGGAAAATAAGTGTTTCGTGTCAGCTACTAATGCCTTCCTTGGTACAAAGAATTCGAGTATTTGTCCTGATGTGTATAAATACGCCAGAGTGGTATACCGCTGTATACAACATCCAAAGATTGTTCCGGTGGGTATGCATGTGCAAATGTCCTTAAAAGAACTCTGCTCTTAATTACTCTTGACTAAATGTGTGTATTAGTGTTCAGGAAAAAAAGCGAAACTGTATGAATTTTTAAGCAATGAGTATATGAAAATCATATCTTTGAATTGCGGAGAAATAATCAAACGTGAAGAAAATCTTAGCAGTTGTAGGTTTGCAGAGGTAACGCTGAGGTTTAAGGGGTCGAATCCCGTACGAACCTGAATTTTTGTCTCACAGCTGCAAAAGTTGCGAAGTGTTCATGATCAAATTAAATAAATCTCAGCGGTTCTTTCTAAAAAAAAAATACTTGCATGAAATCTATAGGCTATCAGTCAAAGTTTCGGAGAAGCCGCAGAGAAAGATCGACCGCCTAGTGTATGGCAAAAAAAAAGTGGTCGTACGATAACTTATTTGCAGTGTCGATACTTTCTATTATTTGTAATGCCAACGCAATATACTGTTTGGACCAAAAAGCGAAGGTCAGTGGAAGCAGGGGAAAGAAAAACAAAGTGCATGGTATGACTGGAGGACTGTAAGAGCAGCAGCCAAAGAAAGAGAAGCCTCGGGAAAGAGAAAATGTCACGGAATTATCTTCCATATTTTTAAAAGAGACAGATGATAATGATGATAAGAATGACTGTTTTTATATCCAATGTAGTCGTAAGTTGTGGTAATAATGTCTTCCTTTTGTTTTCAGGTATGCCCTTTACCTTGCCACAAACCATACAAGTGTTTCCCCAGATGTGACATCAGCTGCTGCACTCCTCCCCCTCCCCCTCCGCCACCACCCCCTCCTCCCCCGCCATCATGCCCTGGAACATGCCCAGCACAATGCTTTCCAGCATGCTCTCAGGCTTGTTGCAGTCCTCCACCACCCCCTCCCCCAGCGCCAGTCTATTACCCACCCCCAGCCCTACCCCCAACTCCAACATGTCCTGGATCCTGTCCAAGTACTTGTGCTCCAACGTGCTCTGTGAGGTGTTGTATCAGTAGGAACATTGCTCAGAATGATGTCAGACCTCTTACGTACACCGCTCCTCGCGTGGCACCAGTAGGTGAAAGATACCAGAATTACTACCCAGCTGCACAGTCAAATAATTACTACTACAATCAGTACAGGCAATATGCCCGAGCAAGGCCACAGTATTTGAATCCTTATGCAAGGTACCAAGCATACAGAAAATCATATGCAAACTGGCCGAATTATCCGAACGTCAATCGCTATCTAGGATAACTGACATTACAGAAGCCTGTTCTGTAAATAAAACTTAGTCAAGAGAGCAACTAATTCTAGACGCAGCTGATTGGCAAAGGACAACTTCTTGAATCTTGAAATTAGAACTTACTGTTGCACAGAATTTAAAGAGTAAAACTTACTGCCAATAAGTCTTATTCGCTTTAAAGGCAATGTTTCAAGGTATGTGGTGTTACAGCCTAACAGCAGTTTTTACCGCGATATTGAAAGGCTGAATTTCAGTTTTTCCTTCTTGAAATGTCTGACATTTTAATAACTCTGGTGTCAATTAGGACTCATATTTACATTTTGACATAATTTAAGATAAGAATAACACAATCTTTACGCAATATTGCGATCGCGTTCATTGCCTTGGTTTGACTTGAGTTGCTTGCGTATCGACCAGGGTCGGAGCACACTTAACTGTAAGTCTGTGTTTCAAAAATTGATGTTGATTTTCATTTCATTTACCAGGATTTTTAAAAAAATATAATTCATTGTAAATACATTTAATTAAATAAATGTTTGATCTGTACACTTATTGTCCCTTGCGTAGCACTCTGAATATCTACGGTCTTTTAGTAACAGTTTTTCGATTATTGTTTGATTGTCTATGAAGCCTTCCTCGTATGCATACAAGCCGTGAAGAAAAAAACAAGAAGGATGAGGTCCCACCGAGATCTGAACTCGGATCGCTGGATTCACATCCTCAGAGACTCAGGGGCAGTCGGTCGGGTCGGCGAAAGTTTTCAAGCACAGGCGGAAGAGCCCCTGGGCGCGATCCATTCAACCAAAATTCCAACCGGTCCGACCGGGAAAAGTGGTCCACTTCAAAAGGTGGACCCGTTTTTTCGAAACATTTCCGGTTGGACCGAACCGGTCCAATGAGTTTTAGACTGAAATTTCCGGAAACTGTGGTTGAATGGATCTCGCCCCCTGGGTACCGACTTTAACCAAACCATTTCAAAACGGTTAAGCGAATGCTGGCTCCTGATTGGGCACAAAAAATGCTTTGTGTTATTGTGCCAAGTCGGCGATTAGCATTTCCCGAGTTCTTTTCGTGTGTTCGTACACGAAGGCTATTGTCTCGCCATACTTGTCCGGTTCGTTCACTGAGGTTGTGCGTGCAATTCGCAAGGAAAACTTTCACTTTCTACTTTCCTAAACAGAAACGAAGGAGCTATCGATGACTCGGGGAAACGTTTCGGATGCTATCAGCGGGACCATTGCAATTTGCACCGAGAAAATTCTGTTTCTGACCGACCACAAGGTATCGCAAATAAATCTACGACGGCCATGATCGATGCAAGTTTGAATACGTGCTGCAAGCTCAAGCCTGTATTTTTGTAAAAGCGTCTTTAAAATACTCTTACATACGTTTCCATGTTTTAATTCTTGGGTAGACAGTATTTTGAAATGGGCGGGGTTTATATCAATCCGAAAGTTTCCTGACCGCGTGCATTTCTTTTTATTCTCATGCAAAAACAAAAATAACTCATTCATACAATAAAGGATTCGCACTCATCCTCGTTTTGAAAGCGAGATGTGATGGCCTATTGATCGGCGCATAAAATTAGAAAAACACACAAAAATCACAGCATAGTGCAAAAACAAACAGATTTTAGGTCCCACCGAGATTTGAACTCGGATCGCTGGATTCAAAGTCCAGAGTGCTAACCATTACACTATGGGACCATACGCATGCACCAGAAAACCAAAGACATTTACAAACCACAGTGCCTTCCAAACATAACTTCTGCGCATTTGGGATATTATGCCCAGGCTTATACAGCTGTTTCAAGGGTTGTCGGAAAAAATGTGCACTCGACAATCCCGAAAGGTAATATGGGATATGACCAAAACACTGTTCCTGACTCTGTAGCTGTCAAACCTACTTTTGTTGCTTTCCTTTAGCAGTCGCAAACATACTCCCATGGCCTCTCCTGCCATTCTTCCAAATTTTTTTTGAAGAAAAGTGAACTTAAAACCACCCACAATACCTTTCGGGATTGTCGCGTGCACTTTTTCCAACAACCTATCTCGAAATAGCTGTATTACAATGCTTGCCCGGGTTGCTCGAACCATGGTTAGTGCTAACCAGCGTTAAATATCATAGAAACCTATACATTTGATACCTCTTAACCAACGGTTAGCGCTAACTAGGCTAATGCTATAATGATTTCCCAGTGAAGCATTTACCGATTCCTGGTATATACATATAGACATTCCAGAATTTAAGCAGGGATCCGTTAAAAACTACATATCCCAGTGGAGACCCAGTTAAGCCAGTGACTGCCACGCCATAGGTTTGAAACTTTTCTACATTTCAGAAGGGCAGGGCCTTGAGCTCAAACCCTTTACCTTTTTAACGTGCCATTTTTGGAATGCATGTACTTTCAATGTGAAAAAATGTTAGGTGCCCCTATTAATTTTGACACTGTCCTGCTATGTAGTGAATCAGAGGGAGTCGCTCCTCCCATTTTAAGGTCATTACCGTAACTTTCAAACAAGGAATAGTAGTAGTCAATTTATTTCTCTCTATAGGATATACAAGTTTATAGAAACAGATAATACATTAATTAAGAAAAAACTGAAAGAGTAAAAAGGCAAAATAGCAAAACTAATACATTGCCGTAGAAGATGGAAAAATATAAAAGATTTCTAATTAAGTGGAAAAAAATGAATGAATGGCTTGATTTTTTTTGCTAGAGTTACATTTTGCAGTATACATTTTGTACGAATAGTACAGTCCTTAAAAGATCCTAAGCTACTTGGCTCCTGCTGACGTCAGAATAAGAGGTTTTTGCCCAATGTAGCCTGCGTAGGAAGCGTTTCCGTGAGGTTTCAGAGCAAACAACAAGAAGTGAGAGAGTCAAAATGAAAGAGTCAAATTTTGGCTCTCGCTCCATTTTTCGCGCGGCAAAGACCTGAAATCCCGTTCTTTGACGTTCTTCGGTCTTTCTTTGCACCGAAACCACACGGGAACGCTTGCTACGCAGGCAACACCCAATGCTATATGAGCTCTCCTCTTCTCTTCCTCTCCTCGCGTTATACTTGTCCAACGGATGATTTTTAACTCACTACCCAGGACTCGACCTTCATCTTCATTCGCATACTACTAACAATTTATAGGAAAACTCTTTGCCCTTTTTTTATATTCAAAGAGTTTAGAGGATGCGGGTTACACATTACGATTATCCCTTCTGTTCCGAAGTCAGTTTTTCTGTCAATTTAGACAGAACATTAGGTTTACAAAATAGCATAAAAAATCGTGGTTTTAAAAGCCATCCAAAAAATTGTTGTTTAGGTCCCACCGAGATTTGAACTCGGATCGCTGGATTCAGAGTCCAGAGTGCTAATCATTACACCATGGGACGTTACTCATTTAGCGTTAAAGAAAATTACCAAGTTGAACCTCTTATCGCTACCGACTTCTTTATAGCAGATTTAGATCTGAGATCGGGATCTACCGATCTTTATAAAGATTTCGTACAAAACATCGAATGAAAACTTGACCAAAATGACTGACAGGCATAAATTTCTTCTAGTCAACGACACCACCTCTTCTCTTCATATTATAAAGTAGGGTGTTCCTTAATGCTCGATCTTGGGGCCTTACCTTTTTCTGTGATGTCTCAAGGGATTTTAGATTGAATTTTTTTTATTTGCTGATGATACTAACATATTTCTTTCTCATAAAGAGGTAATCTTGCTTGAAAAGACCTCGGATGAGGAACCTTTGAAACTGACATCTTGATGGCAGGTCACTAAGTTATCAATAAATTATTCACAATCCAAATCTATGGTTTTCAATCCCAGGCAGAAATGGTAAAACCTTGGTATTAAGCTAGAAATAAGTAATTGTGCCATTGAACGAGTAAAGGATACCATATTCTTGGGAGTGATCGTTGATGAGAGCCTCACATGGAAACACCAGTTCGCTAATGATGCAAGGAAAATTTCTAAATCAATTGGAATAATATATAGGTCAAACTTTTGTCTTCCTGATACTTCTTTACGTACTCTTTACTATACCTTAGTTTATCTTTATCTTGTATACTATGTTTCAGAACGGGCATCGACTCATCCCACAAATGTGAAACGTATTGTTATACTTCAGAAAATATCTAATCGAATTTTTTGCAAGAAACCATTTGATGCACACTCTGATCCTATATTAGGAGTAATAAGGATATTTGCAAATATTGAAGTTCCATAATATGTATTTGTTTCAAGTTGGAAATTTTATTTATTTTTATGGCAAGTAAAATTATTCCTTAATTCCAACACTTTCTACTTAAATTTCCTGCACGAAAAAATGTAAGACAGGGTCCAAAGGTTTTCAATTCACTAAATTGCAATATACAAAGTGCTGCGACTTTCTCCCTTTTTAACTCTAGATTGAAAGTATTTATACTTAGCTAATTCTCCACTTGTAAATATTATTCATTACTTGCTACTTTTTGTCCGTTGAGTGAACAAGAAAGTAAAAAGGGAACAGCACAAAAATAAATGCGTCGGCCGGGAATCGAACCCGGGTCAACTGCTTGGAAGGCAGCTATGCTCACCACTATACCACCGACGCCCGTGTTGAGTTACTTGCTTTGTAAAACTAATTAAGTCGGGACAGTCAGTGATAAAGCGACGCGAAAAATTTCAACACAATGGATACAATTGACTTAAGTTAGCCATAGTCTACCCTTTTTGTTTGGTTAAACAAACTGCTGAACATCACTTTTGCCTTCGTTTCCAAAGAATAGCTAAATAATCGGAACTCGGGCGGACGGATCCAGACAGTTTTGTCAAGGGCTGTCACCTTATGCGCTTTCTATTGTAAGGCCTCAACTCCTCTCTAACATTTTTAGGGCTGACTGTGTTGTCTGTCAATCGTTGGTTGGCTTCGTTGATCATTCTTGTGAGATACCCTTCCACGATGCTAGTCTCCAATCTACCACTGTGAATCATTCATTAAAATGTTTAAACAATCTAACAATGCTGAC